ATAAATATATATATATATATATACATACATAACGGAGAGTAAAATGAACGTGTGGCCCCAATTGTAATATAAGTCGAGCGTTGTAGTTGGACTGGGACGATTATCGTATATTACCGACGCGTACTAGACACAAGAAAATTTTCGCGCAAATCGAAAGAAAAGAGTGGGAGATACAAGTGGCGCGAATGAGAGAATACACGAATGAATGTATTGAGAGATTTTAGATATAGGTAAATAAAAACAGAGATATAGATATCAGTGAGTGAGTGAGTGAGAGAGAGAGAGAGAGAGAGAGAGAGAGAGAAAGGGAGAGGGGGAGGGAAGGGAATGAAAGAGTGAGTGAGCGAGCGAGCGAGCGAGAGAGAGAGAGAGAGAGAGAGAGAGAGAGAGAGAGAAAATTAACGTTCTTTGTCGTACATTTGATGACGCAGCAATATCTCTCTGAGAATCCTACTCTTTAAAACCCCAACCCAATCCAACCCTCGCTCCAACATAAATGACATACATACACACATTTACGTACACTCAACATACATTTCTCAGCTTCGTGAAAAGACACAGATACATCATATACTTGTACACAGAACGTACTCTCCTACAATCCATAAGAATAATTAAACGAATGTATACGTGCGCGATCGCAGCTTTTATTATAATATATTCTGTATAAATAGTTAATTCAATTGTGAAAACAAGATGAGGGAGTGGGCGAGAAATTTGATTGGGAGAATCGTTCTGCGAGCATGTTGACTTGCCTTCATTTTTCCGACTTAATAGTTTTCTTGTTATGAAAAAAAGAGTGTGAGAAAATAAAGAATCGAACAGGAAGTCGAGAAGAAAACAATTTATTTTCGTCGTTATTTTCTTCATCTATTTTCAATAAAATTCTGTGATCGGAAAATGTCAAAGGTGAGTACGTACGAAATAAAAAAAGAAAGATAAGGACAGTAAATGACTGATATTAAAAATGATGTAATCTGCGTATCTACATATTATGCATATGCAATAATAACCTTATGCGGTGTTTTATTACGGTTTGGAAATGTACATATTTCTATTTAGCTTGCTGCGTCAAAGACTTATGTTAGTATTTATTATGTCTTTCCGTTTTCTTTCGACATTTTATCGTTTTCGTACAGCAGCGTGCTTAATGACACTTTGATGATCACGATAAAATTAAATTTAATTAAATCGTTTATTTATGCGCGACAATTTATTCAAATTTTTAGAAAAAAGTCGAGAATGATAATACAATCTATATCGAATTTTTATCTAATAAAAGTTTTCGTGAATTTTTGCAAGAATATATCTCAATTAGTTAATTAAAGAAGTGGCCAATGGCAATTTAAAACAATGATAAAATTTAGTTTTTTGTATAAATTAGATATTCATCGATTGACTAATGTATGGCATCAATAAAAATTTAACTAAATCAGTCGTTTGTTTATTTGAAAACGAACGGAAATGATCATCAAAGTGCTTGTGTGTATGAGCGCGCTTCTGCAATTATGTTCGTGCTCGCGAACGATCCCTCTCTTGAATACAATTAGCAGCTAATTCGCGGTAGAGAGAGAGAGAGAGAGGGGGGGGGGGAACCCCCCTTTTAAATTTGATACTTTTCTTATCCTTTCTTCATTGATAAAGATGGTCCAGTTATATCATCGTGATGCCAACTATATCTTTCCCGTGTGTGCGTATTCCTTTGAACATATACGCATATTCACCCGCGACATATTGTTACGGTCATTTGCAAATCTGAGAAAAAATTCCTTGCTTTTTGCTTTCAATCTTTCTCGCACTCTTTTTCCTCCCATTTCATGCGCTTGTTTTCGTCGGTATTCTAATACTTTTGTTAGTCCACACGATTCATCCTTTGTTAAAATTTATTATTGTCATTTTTGTTTGAACATGCTAGTTTCAAATTGAACGAAGAAAGAAGTAGAATGCAATCAATTTTCAATCTATATTTATCTCTTCCGATCTCTTGTCCCTCATTCTGCCGTTACAATTTATATTGGAAGAATTTATATTTCTATACAAATCTTGTCGCATATACGCGTCCCTGATATACGTAAATACGAGCAAAAGATGATAGAAAATAAGAAAAAGAGAGAAACGAACATGCGAATGAGGGAACAGGAGCAAGGAGAGAGTATTTTCGAAGAAACAGAATGAATTTTCGAGAAACCTTTATAACGCGATACGCCAAACAGAGCATGTGTATTAAAAGACAAAATTTTTAATGAAATTAAAACGTCGATTATTATACGTGAGATCGAATTCATGATGAATAGTACGAAATAATAAAAACGCCCCTCGTTAACGTCACATGCGTCACGCTAGGACGCGTGTCTCGTTGATCTCTCGACGATCGAGTCACGACGGTCCGTTCGGAAGGATGGATCATCGGTACCATTCTCTCTGATCGACAGAGCACGATGAGTAAAATGAGGGAATGACGGGTAGGAGAAGAGGGAGCGAGAAGAAAGGAAGAAAGAGCACACATAAGCAAAAATTTTATCAATATTTTCAATACATCCTCGTACATGCAAATCTTGTATAAAAATTTTAATATAACACAATTGCTCCTGCCGGAAGCCGAGCGACGCGTCGGCAACGCATTGATGTTCCTCACAATATATCCCGATAAGTCCGACAGATTAGATTCTGCGTAAGAAACACAAGAACGATCTCGAGATCGTATGAATCATCCGATTCTTTTTACGGCTGAAGAGGGACGTGAGTGTTGCACGTTGCTCGCGTGATCGGCGTTCTAGTATACTAAACTAAAAAAAAAAAAAAGATAACCCACGTATACCGAAAGACTCAGGTGCGAGAAAAGTCAGTATAGTTATTGTCCTGATTAAGTCGGAAGAACTTTCCAAATTCGTAAGTTATAGCGTGCAAGCGTCGCGCAAACGTACGTGCATGGCTCATCTACGTGAGATACGCCAATCGATCGTACGATCGTCGACCGTTTTCCCTCGCTAAGAGGAAAAAGTGTAAAGAAGGAGATTCCTTGGCCGTACAAATTTATCGGGTCCTTCGACGCGAGTCGCGCCAACTTTTTCGTCGGAGAAATTAATCGCGATCATTGCAACGCATGAAAACATACCTATACGATAAGAAACAAATGAAAATTGTCTATATGTTACAGACAATTCAAGTAATTCGGGCATTATCCATATTGGCCGACCATTATGGATAATGCCCGAATTAATCATATTGCCCATAATATACATATACATTTTACACGAGATTACGTCGTCGAGATTACATACGCAAGACTTGATGAAGATTAATACTGTTTATTATTAATTTGATATTTTCCTTTTTATTAATTTTCATGAATTTTCATTACTTTATTTAATAATCCTCGCACGCGCAAGGATCGATTCTAGGACGCGATAATTTTGACGCGTGGAATCTTCTCGATTAAGACTAAAATAAATATTATTTACTATTTAATGATAAATGAATATAATTATTGAGAACGAGACAATCACAAAAACTACTACTAATCAATAACAACCGATATCTTCTCTGTAGCGTACAACGTCAAAGGCAAAAGCAATTTTTATGAATTATATTTGTTGAATGATATATGTTTAATTTTGTTGAGATCTGTCTTTGGCTATGCACGATGATACATTGATTTACAAATAATGTATGCGTAATAGCGTAAGCAATTAATTTCCTCAACAAAGATTGGCATTTAACAAAATTATAGTAAAAATATTTATGTATATAAATCTGATTAAAAAATGATCTAAAGTATATGTAATTTGGTTTTTGTAATGTTGCAAACTATTTTTTTCTGATAATCATTAACGTCACATAATATGTCAATACAATAACAAATTCAGTTTGTAGTCATGTTAACGCGTTAACATAGATGCATGGAATATTTAGCAATTTATTTCGAAATCAATTCAATTAAAACGTAGTTTGATATGACATGGAATAAGCGAAAAAATTTCAAGAATTAATTTCAGAAGTAGACGCTGTAGACAGATACGGAAGAAGATCGCACGATCGAGAACGCGTGAAAATATCAGCACAATTTGAACAAAGAACGGAGCGAGCGGACGTCATATCGGCTGTTCGTTTTATAAATGAGTTCACTCGATTGAATCATCGCCTTAAAAATGTATACGAAGTAACAATAAGGTCTATCTAAATAATAATCATGTTAGAGGGTAAATTGTAACAAAGATTTTATGAGCGGCAACACGAGCGACGAGGATAATGAGAGAGTATGAGAGTAAATGCGTGCATACATGTGTGTGTTACATAAGTCTGTGTATATGTTGAATGTAAATGTGGAAAATGCGTGCGTGAATAGGAGCAAGCAAGAGAAATAATGTATAACTATTGTATAATACGGACGATGAATGGTTAACTGCTACGACATCGACTATTGCGATAATGTTCATAATAATGATCGACGAGCATTCTTAAAAATCGTAGCAATCATTATTATAATCATAAAAGCAATGCGAATCGACCATGATAACGGGGTCTGTGAAGCTGATACAATAGTGACGCATATACGACGAGAAGACATGTGTATAATAAGCTAAAATTTTATTATATCGATATGAAATCAGATTTTTGCAACTGTTTGCGTATTGACGACCTATTGACGCCCTTAAATAAGAAAATAAAAAAACTGCAAATAAATTAAACGAAAAAGAATGAAATATATGAATTGTGTTCTGCTTTGTAAATCGTATCGCTCTTCGATATTAACTTACGCAATTGTGATAGCAAGAGGAGCGAAAAAATGGGACAAAGATTAAGAGGGATGAATGAAAGAAGTAAAGAAAAAAAGAAGAGAATGAATGAGAGGAATGTGTGTGAGGGAGAGCGTGAAAGAAATGTGATTGCGATGTAGTTAAAAAAATGTATGTGGCAGTCGAAAATCCCTTCTACGTGCTTATCGTAAGCGAAGGAGATGTGCTCGTTGCCCAGAATGTACACTGTCGTGTATACAAAAAGATAAGAGAAAGGTGAAAAACGAAAGACGATAGACAAAAATTAAACGGAAGATAGAACAATGGGATACCGCACGTTGATGTAAAGTATTAAGTATTATGGGACTACGTGCATACATATAATTGTACTAAAGGGCACAAGCCTCTCGAGCCATCACGCATATTGAGACACATACATAAATGCACATAAACACACACACACACACACACACACACACACACACACACACACACACACACACACACACACACACACACACACACAATCAATCGATCAATCAATCATATAAATACGACACATACGACACATACAGGTATGCAGAAAAAGAGAGAGAGAGATAAAAAGATCACACTCGATCAATTGTGTACTTGAACTGATTGATTCTGTTTTATTAAACTCATAGATCGAACACGTGATGATGATGAAAGAAAGAATGATGTCAAAGGTGGTCTATGTTAGAGAGTGTCCATTGTATAGTGTTTTTTGAAACGTGAGCATTAAATGCTACATCTTGTGTACACTTGTATTACACTTTATTACTCACACCCGTGAGAAAATGCGACGTGAAAAGTCGTAACGTCGTTGCTGAATATTGATTAGTCTTACTTCAAATTCATAACAAGTGTAATATTCCCGTGTCTCAATAATGTATTACTTTTCAACACGAATCATTTTAATTTATGAACAAAATCTTCTGGTCACATTCGACGTTCCGACTTTCGTAGCATAAAGAAGAAAAGTAAACAGCAAATTATTCGATATATATATTGAGAAAATTATTATTTTATTTGACATCATGCACATTTCTCATGAATTTGGTCATGAATGTTCAAGCATGACAGAGTATTTAAAATTTCTAATACTTTTTTAAAATTTCTTTTTCCATCAATATTTCCTTTTTTTTTCTTATTTTCTTGTGACAAGACAATAAGTGCATACAGATAAAAGACAAGCTTATCGAGATGCAGTTGAAGTTTGAATGAATCTTGTTAGACTAACCAATGATATGTTATATGATTAAATATCCACAACTAAGGTCTCGTTGAAGAATCGCATGACAGTAAGAAAATGCTTCATCGTCGCTTAATTTCTATTAAGGTAGAAGGGTAATCTACAAAAAAACGTAACATCTTTTCTTTATTAAGGTCGCTGAAAAGGCGATATCGGCATTTAAAAATTGGCGGACTATTTATCGTATGACCGACAGAGATCTTGACAATAGAATTGGATAGAGGATTGTTACTTGTTAGTGAACTGTCGATGGCTCCGCTTTATTTTCTGCTGTCGAAGTCACTTCTCCGAGTACGCGCGCGCACAAGTAAAAAGCGAAAGGGTGCCATTGCTGTATAAAACACATTTGCGATTCGCACGCATCCCCTGGACCGAGTTTTCTCCCTGCGTCTCTGTCTAGTATACTGCCTGTTCTGAAATATGATAGGACGGGTGGAGGACCAGAGAGCATCGCGGTGTTGCTGTAGGTGCCAATTACTGCTGATGGTTATTCCATGGAAATGGACCTTGTTACGCTGCAGCGTCGAGAATCGGGGAAGGTACCAATTATTTTTGCTGCCATCGATGCTTCCTGCCAGG